TGAATGATGGGGCAGCGAGGAGAAGAGTGATGACGGGACAGGTTACCCCAGCTATAGCTGTCAGGTCAACGGATGTGCTGCACTTCGCTGTTGCAGGCCAAGCTTTTCGACCAAGTTGGGTCCATTAACTGATTCATATGATTAAAATAATGTTAATTAATATAAAAGTCCATCCTTTAAATTATAGCAATTATAGACATACATAATCTTTATATATTTTTTAAATGAACAAAAAATAAGTGTTTATACAATCCACAGTTTTTTTGTTCGCTTAAATAAATTAACTATTATTTAATTAAATTTTTTTGTGAAAAGAGAATATAGATATGAAAAAGCTTATTATGTCTTATTTATTTTAAATTCAAACTAATACCAAGTTCCTAAAAAATACAGCTCGCAGCGATGTATTCACATATTAAAGTTTTTTCTTTTATTGTTAAACAATTACCTTCTTCTATACATTTCAAACCTTTAAAGAAGTACAATTTTTTGTGATAACATGCTTCAATTTAAGCCTAAACGACATTTCTGAGAATGTCTAGAAAAAAATGAATTGGTAAGTGTATTTTACATGTGTATGGAATATAGATCCTCCGCCCAACATCCTGCACTTCTTGGTGTCCTTTGTGTGTCCGCTGCAATGTCGTTGAATGACATCGCACCTGGCCTGGTCGAGGCTTGAACTTTCCATAGCCAAAGTCCCCATCTGGAGTCCCTAGCCAGTATTAATTTTGCATATGAATACGAGCACTATGGACCACTGGATGTGTCCTTGTTGTCAGAATAGCCCATTGCCGCTGCTCCTCCGTTTCCCAGCATAGCCATTCATGCAGCTACTTTTCTTCGCAATCGCGTCATGTTTATTGCATGTAATAAATAAAAAATAAATAGAAAGGAAAGCAACTTCGGCAAGCCGAATTTCTATTCCCTTGCTGCTGTTACAAAAAAATTAAATATTCTCTGTTTCGATTTAGGTGTTTAAAAACAATGAAGCTAGCTCGATTTTCCGATAAATTTATCGATCGTTTCAATGGCAGCTGTATGATACTGTCGTCTGAGTTTTATACAACTTAAGCCTGAAATTACTTTAAATAACTATATATATAACAAATTAGAATACCCTCTGCAAGGGTATTAAAATATCTAAAAAATCACATACCCACTTTTGTGACAGCCCGAAGTGGTAAAAGCTATTTAAGATGAGTTCTAAATTTGTTATACATTTTTAAAGCTATAAAATAATATGTCAAAGCTTAATCAATAATAAAGTTTTCAAAACAATGCATCGACATAGCTTTCAGAAGTAAAGATTTGACTTAGATTAACTCTCCGAAAGTATGCAATGGACTTGGAATTTTTTAACCCAACCAATCGATATTTTTGCTGCTTGTTTCCATTTCCTATTTGCAGCTCTAGCTTCATTAGGCGTCACCCAAGTAAATCAAGTCAGGCTGCAAACGTTGCAGAAAAATTAAAATGATATATATCTACTTTGTATGCACAACTGAGCCAAGTATTTTTCGTCCACATACGCAACCACACTCACCTGAAAAAGGGGTAAAGCTGCCAACTCGGCAGTTGTTGTTGCCCTGCACTGCATTTAAGTAAAATGAATTGCTTGCAATTTATTTTTGTTGCTTATCATATAAATTGCACTCGCTCGCCTGCAAGTCATTATTTGGCACATTTGCGCTCAATGACTGCACATTGTTTCTACATCTTCCCACACTCGCAGCCCTCAACCACAGCGTTAAATAGGAGTGACGAACCGGAAGTTTCCAGATACAACAACTGCTGACCCAGTGGGGCTTGGGTGGTCGAAATAGACCTGGCCGGTTGGTCTTTTGCACTTGACTGCATCTTTAACCCCCTGCAGGAGCAAAATTCGAAGACTCCTGAAAATGCCACTTAAGCATTTCCACCTTCCTTGCACACAGCACACAGTACTCCACACTTACACCCACTCAAATAATTTCCCGGTTTGTTTTTCCACGCAATGCGTGAATCTTTTTAAGAAAATCCGTTTCAAAGAATCTTTAGATACAGCTAATTTTGTATATATACTAAAATTAAATTAGCTTGAAAAAATCTCGACCGAGGTGTACATATAAATATATTTAGAAATAGTTTATTCGAATCGGACCAATATGTAGATTTTTTTTTGTGCAAATATGAATTAATAGTTCAAGTATTCAAATAAAATCAAGGCAGAATTTTGTAAGTTGCCAGACATTTGCACTTTAAACACATAATAAACATTTTTTTGACTGTATATTTGGTTTCATTTCATGTTACTCAATTGGGGAAATAATCTTTCGGCGGCTTCAGAACAATTACTTGCTGGCAATGAGTTTCGTTCGGAGCTACATTAAGCTGAGCTAATAGTCGTGACCCGAGACAGACCCCGCTTGTGATTAATAATTCTTTTCCTATCGCTATTGTCTGCCGTCGTTGTGGAGCGTCTGGAACCAGCCTTTTCAGCCTCAGTTAAACGAAAATTGAAACTCAATTATCATTTCAAAAATAGAAAGAGTTGATAAGATGAATGAGCATGGGTGCATTTATACATATATTATAAATTGTAATATGTGTATTATTTTTTTTCTTAAATATTATTTTAAAGAATATTTTCTGATGCTAACCAAATATTGAGCTGATATGAAAAATAACACGAAACCATCATTCATTGGAATAAATTGAAACTATTTTAAACTGATCTCACGTAGTAAAATATACAAGAAAAATAAAATTTCAAAAAATATATTTTTTCCCAAATTGTAACTACTTTAAATTCTTAATTTTCATTAACTGCTGCTTGCACTAATAAATATAAATAAAGGCCATTTTGCAGAAAAATATTGATGATTTATTTAATGTTAGTTAATGACAATTAATTTAAGTTTAAGTCGTGTAAAGAAAGCGTATGCATAATAATGATGCTTAATTTTTGTTTGTTGTCAAATTGCTAACTTTGACATGAAACAATTTCACTTATCAGTTAAATCTTCCAGGAAATTCTGAATGAGAAATTTCGTGTTTTCGTTTATTTTCATTGGTAATTTGTTCGTTATTTGGGTATCCATCGCTTGGGGAACATTGCTGCATACCGTTAATATACGTGCAGCGTTGATAGGTGCAAGTTTTTATACCGTTGTGCCATCTGCAATGTCTCCGAGTTGAATAACTGGCACCTCCGATCCCTGAGTTTAGGATATATCCATTATTTCCTGTAGGGAATCCAGTTGCTGGAACTTCTGCTGTAGTACATTCTTTTTTGCCGTCGAACGAGTGAGTGCAACTTTCCCTGGTGCACTTATATGTCCCTGTTTTCCAATCACAATAAGTACGGAACGAGTGTGCTGGGGCCGTCCATTGCCACTGATATTTCCACTGCGCCACCACAAAATCAATGACCATTAAATTGACAAATACAACCTGCATAAAAACAGTTTGGCAATTCTTTTATTTAAAATATTTCGTAGACTGCTCACTAGTAACTTCATTATGATAATAACATTAAATGTATTTTTCACAATTTATATAAACAGAGAATGGTTATATTTTGCAGCCAACTGCAAATACCCTTAAAACAAAAAATTATTAAAGCTATGTTCAAATAATTGTTCAATTACTTTCTATTGTTAATAACAAATACCTATTTGTAAAATACTACAACAATTGGAGTAAATAGTTTTTACTTTATATAAATATTTATATCGACTAATTTAAAAAGTGTTAGTACTGTTCTTTTGTGCACGTAAATATTCTTATCGACTTGGAAATTCCATCTATACTTTATTAATTTCCTGATACGATGCCTTACATGGGGAGAAAAAAATACACTTATCTTTACAGCTTAGAGTTCTAGACTCCAAGTAAATATTTCTTGTTATATGTTTCAATCACAGATAATTTCTCTACAATCACTAGTGACCTCATTCTGAGCAATGCTTTGACACTCAAAACAAAGAAGCAATATAAAGAAATTTAATAATTTGTTTTTTACGCAGTTCTCACTCAATTCTCAATTCTTATTTAGGGAAAAGAAGGAAAATTTTTTTTTTAATATTTTTTTTTAAATGTACAAATATATAATTAAAAGCTGATTAAGCTTAATTAAAAGATCAACAAAATAAACCGTTTTTAATTTTAAGTTCAATATTGTGATTGAATTATTGAGTATTAAAGACTGGCGCGTCCCCTTGATTTCCTTTAGGTTTATGGCTTAAATAAGCACAAGCAATCCTAAAATCTTAAAATCCTATTTTTCGTCGGGATTTCCAAAAGGATGGCTTAGATTTTTAAACCTAAATCTCGTTTTAATTCAAATTTGGAAATCTTTTAAACTGGGATCAATTGCCAGGACCCAAAAAAAAGTTCCATTATCTTCATCTTCAAAAGCATTAATTTGATCGATTTTTAAATAATTTATAGTATGTTTTTGTCATATTCAGCTTATTTAAAAATAAGCCTTTGTAATTCCTTAACTTATTTTAAGCCCAAACAAATATTTTAAATATATAAAAAATGAATAATGAATACTGCTTTTGATTATCAAAAGAGGTAAATAAATGCGCAAGAATGACGAGTCTAATTATCTGCTTAAAAAGCTAAATATTTTCATTCTCCATCTAAATTCATTCTTTGGTGTTGGTGCCCAGATCCGCTCAATCCAAAAAATACATAGCTGCCTTGGCACGATTTCAACGCGTGGAAACACTAGAACAAGATTATTTAGCAATCACAAATAAAGTGTTTCCCTAAGTCGCCCTGATTTCTAATCATCCAAAGTGCCACTTAACCAGTGTAAGCTAGTTTTCACTGAATCTTAGCATTGAAGGGCTCACTCATCTGGACATTGACTTCTAATCTATGCTCAAACATTAATTTCCCAGACGTATGGAAATTTTTTTTTTCGGGTCAAATATAATTGCTTGTACATAAGTCTGTCTGGTCGCTGATAACACTGGGGCTTGTGCCGGCACGCTGTGATTGCCGGAGAGCATAAAAGAACCGAGGCGGCCAAAAATTGTATTCATACCAGCAAGTACAGCCGGAGCATCAACATCATGAAATTCTTGGTGAGTACTTACAGACTTTTTACAACCGAAAATCGGCTGGACTTAAATAATTTCTTCATTTCGTCACAGATCCTTTTCTTCGCACTATTCGCCATCGCGGCTGCTCTGCCCCAGTGGAGAGGTGGTAATCAGCAACAGCAACAGCAAGAAGGATTCGGAGGTGGATTCGGATTTGACCAACAGCAACAGCAAGAACAAGCCAACTTCGGAGGATTGGGAGGAGAGCAACAGCAACAGCAAGAAGGCTTCGGAGGAGGATTTGACCAACAGCAACAGCAACAGCAACAGCAAGGAGGATTCGGAGGATGGTGATGGAGAAGTTTTTTTCTAACAATCTACACTCTTTGCAAGAAACACAACCACGTCTTTAACAAAATACCCTAATAAAAATAAAGCACGTTTTAAAAAATTGAAGTTTCATGGAATGGACAAAACAAGGTCATAAAATTATCTGACCGAAAGTGATATTTTATGAAATTATTTGTTTTTATAATTTTCAAAAAATTAAAATATCTCTTAAAGTTTTAATGAAAAAGACAACTGTGATTTAAGATTGATTGATAAATATTGAGCAAACTGAATTCCTGAGCAAATTTTGCAAGTAGTACTATTTTTTTTTAATTTTACAAAGAGTTATTAAAAAATAAAAATAATATATACTTCATTAATTTAAATATTATTTAAATTTTTCGATATTTTTCGATAGCCAATAACAACCAACAGTTTAGTGGCGGGCCAGTTTATAAAATTTTTTTTTTCACAAATAGTTCAGTAAAACTTGGTAAGCTATTTTGTTACATCTGCCTCATGAATTTAGTAATATTTTTTGCCATAAAACATAATTTAATTAAACAAACATTTTTCCGCATTGATAAATTTATAAGCGGAACGGAAATGTTATTTCTTAATACTTAGGCTGGCCGCAGTTACCTTTCTTTACCATTTTGTTATTAAGTCTTTTTATTATAATATAAATACAAGCCAAATTACATAAAATTTTTGATATTTTTGCATTGAAATATAAACACAACCAAAACTGGAAAGCAACATGCTTGGAAAAAAACAGACGAAATTCGATGTAGCTAATCGATAGCCTCCTCCGTAGCCGCCTTCTCTTGCTCCGTTTGCGGTCCCTGCCCATCGCCCAGATCGATCTCCTCCCTGTTGGCGTCCTGGAACTGGACCTCCCCCTCCGAGCCGCCCAGCTGGGTGGCCTGCCAGGCCCTTGTCCAGGGCAAGGACATCAGCGACATGACCTTGGACAGTCCGTGCTGCCGCTCCCACTCGCACTCCCGATCCCGCCTACTTGCGCCGCCCGCCTTCTTGTTCGGCAGCTGAAGCTCCTCGCAGCACAGCATCGAAACCAGCAAGTGCTCGACGAAGAGGGCGTGTGTCCGCCTCCGACTTCTGGTTACTTCCGTTTCCTGGCACCGCAGCTCCTGCTGCGTGATCCACTGCAGCAGAAGATGCCGCTTGGGGTGCCGTTTTGTTGGTTCCACAATGGTCGAGCTGGGAGAATGTTGAGTGTCCTGCTTGCTGGTCTCCTCTGTAAGATCGACGATGCTGGGTGGCTGGAGATCGGGGTTCCAAGAGTCGTCCGGCACTCGGCCCAGCTGCAGGATCATATCGAAACCCCTCGTCTGACGCTGTGGCTGCTGTTGCAGCTGTTGCAGCTGCTGGTGCTGCTGTTGCTGCAATTGGCGGCGTTGGCGAAGGCGACTCCTAGCCAAAATCCGGCGCAGGGGCGGTGTGTCCGGCTCCAGGAGATTGGCGTGATCGATGTGCTCAAGCAGGAGGTGATGCGACAGGTTGCGAATGGCCACCAACTGGATGGTCGGCAGGCCGGCGCACATGGGGCAGACCACATAGCCATCGGCGAGCCGGTGCTGTCCACACACATGCTCAATTAGCCGCTTGGCCGAGTGCCCGAATTGGCCGCAGTACGGACAGGTGTAGCAATTGGACAGGTGGACCAGATCCGGCACATCGCCGCCGAGCAGCGGAGCCGCCCGATCGGCCTGTTCGAGGATCAGCTGCATGGGATGGTAGCAGCGGTGGTCCTGCGTCTCGATCCGCTGGTCGTAGCACTCGCCGCACAGGTCATAGTTCACGCAGCGCATGCAGCGGAAGCGGCGACCCCGGAAGTGCCGCCTCTGACATCCGTCGCAGCAAATGTGGCGGTGGCCCATCGCTCCGGTGATCCTCGATCCTTGCGCTGACTTCGCTCTAAGCGCAAGCACTGAAAAACTGGTCGAAAATCTGGGCAATAAGGTTTGGAATTTCTACAAATCGAATCGAAAAAATGACAAATATCGATGGCAGGCCAAGGCGATGCGATGAAAAAGTGGCTCTGTTTTCGACATCACTTTTTTTTCATTGTTTTGTAAAAACATTAATAATGTATACATTTTAATCTATTTAATCTATTTTTGCAAAAAATTTAAAATACAAATATGTCTTCTGATAAGAACTACGTGGTTTGGTTGACGGTCGATTTTATTCTACATCATCAATACAAGCTAAATTGCTGGAATGACTTAAAAGATACCTACGTTGCCGAAAAAATAATATATATATATTCTTAAAATCTATTTATTTATATTGTGATAACATTTTGCACAGTATTATTTTTCTCCTGCCACTGTAAGCTTAAATCCAATTTAATCCACTTGGAATACTCTCCCAAAAAAATGCGCTTATACTTATTTAATTGGATACCCAGTCAGTAATGGGTTAAACCCTTCGGTTCTAACTGTAGCTGTTCCATTCGTGGCTCTGACTGTCTCTCTCTCTTTTTGACTCACTGTCTCGCTCTGTTCTTTTCAATTTTCCAAGCTGGGTGCGCGGCAATTGTAATGGAAGTCTTCCGGCTTCATGCACCTCCGTCCTTGCAATACCCTCTTTTAGGGAGTATCATGGCAGAACACTTAAAAAAAAACATAAAGCTGAGAAATTATAACTTTTTTAAATAGTCTTTTTGTTTTTAAATGTAAATACAAAAAGTATTTACATTATAAAACATTTTTAAATATATATATTATTTTGAAACCATGGTGTTTTTTTGGAAAATAATCATTAAAAAAAATCATGATTACAGCTCTAGTAGTAGTGGAAGTAGAGAAAATGTTTAAAATTTGTCACACAATAATCGGTCAAAGAAAATATTTTTCTTTTTGAAAATAAATACAGTTTTTTGAGTGTACAACCACAGCTCCTGTTTCTGCGCTGGTGTTGGTAATTATTTTATGGAGTGTAGCGGACGGGACGCAATCTCTTCGCCGATGTCTATGTGTGTGTGTATGCGTGGGCAACTTATGTTTACCAAGTGCGAAAGTGGAAACGTGCTGCAAACATGAAGTCCTGCCGCCCGCCCCTTTTTTCGCCCACTCTCCCAGTGTTTTACGCTTTATAATAGGATTTGAATACAATGGCATTGTAATGAAATGTGCAGCAAACGATGGTCTGCAGACGGTCTGTAGCAAGTCGAGCTCTGCGGTTGCCTTTGGACTCCGGCAAGTCCTGCGATTGCGATCCCGCCGGCTCTCCTCCGGCTCTCTGGGCCATTCCTTGCCATCCCTTGCCAAGAACAAGCCAAACAGCTGTTCCGCCTTTGTCTGTCTGCGCGTGTAATTTGAGTTGGTAATTAAAAGTAAAGCAAAAGGCAAACTGCTGCAACTGCCGCACATCAAGTTACCGCTTCACACGTATGTCCGTTCGCTCTCTAATGCCAAAGCAGTCGTCTAAGTGCACCACATTGGTTTTAATGCGAGAATGCTGCATTTAAAGGTGTCCTTTTTAAGTCCGGTGTGTGGATTGCATGCTCACCTTAAGAAACCTCATTCAATCATATAATATTTCAAAAGCTGTTTCATGTATAACTGCTGTAAAAACATTAAAAGACGATGTTTAAATTTTTTTAGAGTATAAGTCAAATATGTTAGTTTATTTACTCAAAAAGCTTATAAAATGCTTATCTTTACTTTTTATATTTATAATATACTTTTTCTCAGAACGCCGTTTCTAAATAAAATACTTTGGGCAAGTGGTAAAATGTTATCGAAATTATTAATGACCCTACTGTTATAATTGACCACATAACAAAAATCAGTCTTATTTTTTTTTCATAAAATAAAATATGAATGGCCGCTTTATTGCAAAAGTTGTAAATTTATTTATAGACCCTAAACGTTTGAAAGCCTAATTAGGTACGGCCGAAATATTTTTTCCGACCATTCAAAAACCAGAAGAATAACCATCAATCAACGCCTGTCGACCTTTGTTGATTAGTTTATCAATTAAATGTAATTTAAATTTTATTTTCATTAGCCTTTCAAAGGGTGCCGTTGGACCCGCTTCAATTGTGCTAATCAATGGCAAGCCTGTCTGAGAAATCTCACGGCCATAAGCGATTTGGAAAATCAGGCCTTAATGAAAATTAGAAGGCATTTCCCATTAAAATCGTTAGGTGGGATATTGCGGATGGATTCTTCTAATTGCGCTCCGCTTTTCTTTTTAGCGGATGCTGTCAATGAAAATTCGTTCCTTGCCCTCTTTTATTTATGTTAATTCGTTTGCCTTGCTTTGCGCATTTTTTTTTATTTCTTTTTTATTTTTTGCCAGCGTGACGATATGCTCAATTGCTTTTGTAATCAATCAAAGTCAAAAGCGCAAAATGTTACTTACATACACGTATTGGTGGGCGATAAAGGAGCGTATCCTGATGGGATCGGGGGCGGGAACGGGGACGGGAAAGGGGATGGGGATGGGTTGGAAAGTGCAGCCAGGATGCCCGGGGCGGAAACTGGATTGTCATGTGTGTTCGCGGGTCTCCCGATGCTAGATGCTCGATGCTCTTTGCTTGTATTTTGTGTTGGTGTTTGACGTGACACTTGAGCGACACTTGAAGCCCGATAATTGATATTGTGCAGGCTGAGGATGGGCTTACGGGAAGGATATGGATGGGGTGCCGGATGGAGTGGGCGTGGCCGAATGCCGGTGTGCGGCAGTTACGGATTCTTGTAATTGTCGCTGACACATTTTCGTGGTTTAGTTGTGGATGGAAGTCACTGATAAATCCAAAGGGAATGGCCGTCAATCACTGGTTAAGTCCACACGAGCTGTTGCCTTTAAAAAACATATCTATATAATTTCAAAAATAAAATCTAACTAAGGTTTAGCTCAGAAAGTCCTGGTAGCGAGGATTGTCCATTTACAAATAAACTTTTAAAGCTCAATTTAATTTTTTTAATCATCACAAATTTATTACATAAAAAATTGTCTTACAAATTACTCACGAGTGCCAGATTATGGAAAATATATGTTAGAACTGTGTTCTATTTTTGACAGCATACTGTTAGAGACTTTTAAATAACTAAATTCTATACCCCAGTGTTTTCTGTGGCCTCCCGAATACAGTATCTCTGCAGCTAAGTAATAGTTCAATCTCTTAAAAATAAACACTTTTTGCACGACTGAATTTAAAATTTGTAAGAAACCCATCAATCCGGGATTCAAGAAGTTTCCCCCTAGCGAAGCAAGTTTTCGACCTAAGTTTGTTTAATTTTGGTGCATTTGAGGAGCGACTCTTGAATCTGGTCAATGTGCCAGCTGCCGCACACTTAGTGTCAACTTCAGGAACAGTAACCTCCTGCCTTCCCCCAGAAAGCCACCAGATAATTGTTAACCATTAAGTCGCACCGCAAATCAAGTGCAGCAATTGCAACTGGACTGCAATTCATTTGCGGCATGGATCATTAAAGGGCGCAGGGGCCGAGAACTTTGGACCGGAGACAAACCGCACGCAAAGTTGCCAACGTGGCCGAAACAGACGTCACCGCCGGAACCAGTCCGGGCCCAAACAAACTGAGCTGAACCCAACCAACCACCATCCAGCCCCTCAGGCCAACGGAAAAGCGTCAGCTGAAAGTTTGTGAGCATAAAGAGTTTTCAGCCAAGTGATGGATGGAGTGGATGGGTTGGCATGGTAATGGGTATAAAAAGGATTGCAGACTGGTTTCACGCCACTTTCGGATCCATTAGGCATTCGATGCCAATCCGGCGATGATGATAATAATGAGCAGCAGAGCGCTTTGAACTTTGGACTGGAGACTATAATGACATGCGTCGCAACTATTTCGCATTTGGAATATTTAATGTACAGAATTTTGAAAACATTATCCGTCATTAGTGTCAGAAATTATGGCACATCCAGCGAAATCCTTTTAACGTCGCAGCCCAGTCCCTTCTACTTGCCGAATCCTTCTCGCCGACAAGTGATAAGTCGATTCAGTTAATAATGTCAGGCCGTCAAATGAGCAGACAACAGGGATGACATCTATTAGACGACTGCTAGACACTTTTCAGCCTGCCTGCCAGGGACCGGTCACATTAATATTAATTTATCAGTGCAAAAAGAGAAACGAGAAAGTACGTTACTTATGAAATTTTATCATATTCGGCAATTAAGCTGCGCTCACGGCGTCTATGACATTTTAATTAAAGCCAAACCAAAAGCCGCAGTCAAAGTGAGCCGCCATGGAGAACAAAAAAAAGATAAACGCCCCAGTCGAATGCCTCTTGAAATTATTATCATCACACCCACAAAGGCAAACAAGGGTAAAAAAGAGCAAGTAAAGAAAGCAAAAGTTTGGCGACAATCCCGACGCACTTTTATGGCCCGGCTTTTGGCTGCGAGTGAAAATGAAGATACGAGAAAGTCCCGTTCCGACCCCAAAACTTGGTATCAGTGTCATGAGTGGGAGGTACTTAGGGATGGCACAGAGAAAACTATTCAAGTATTGACGAATATTAAACAAAGTAAATATAGAAAGTAAGCAATAAAAATAATTTAAAACGATATAAGCTGAGTTAAATTAAAATATATTTGGGAATGATTTAATCAAAATGTATATCTTGAAAAAGAAAAAGTGGCATTTTTAACATTAACCATTTTAAATTTAAAATATTTTTCAAAAAATAATAAATAATAATAATTTTTTCTTCTTTATCAAGCACCTTTATTTAAGGCGCTACATTTTGTATACGTTTACGCATACGGTTTTTAAGTTGAATTTCTTGAGATTTTCCAGGAGCTTCCATCGCTGCCGTGAAAACTTTGGCGTGTGTGAGAGTGTAATTTTCTGCTTAAAGTATGATTGCAAGTGTGAAAATATATATGCTAAACGTGCCCGAGCGCCCCTCTTCGCCTTTGCCGTTCCCGTTGCGCTTCATGCGTTTTTGTTTTATGACGCGGCGACGTGCTCGGAAAATGAAAAGCACTTGACGCGCCAAAGTGCTGAACTTGGCGGTCCTCCACTGGAGCTCCGTCCGTCCGTCTGTCCGTCCGTCCGCCGGTTCATCAGGCCCCAAACCACCCGACTCACAGTTGGTCCACACATGCTAAATCGTAAAATGCTCCATTCTTTTTTTTCTCGAGTTTTTTCTTTACTGTTAAAGTTTTAATACTCTTTCTGAGGGGTACATAAGATACGATAAAATAGCAAAAAGCAAAGGTAAACAGTAATATATGTATTTCTTACGGAAAGTTTTATAATTTAGGTAAGACAGTTTTCCAAGGAAAAGGTGTAGACAAGAAAGAATGGCTAACTTTATTATATTAATTCAATTGAATATATATAACTATTCTATGTTGAAATCGAATTGATACATTTTTATAAGCTTATATATTTTAAACTACAGTAAGCTACTGCAAAATTATGGAAATAAATTGGGATGAATGGCGACCTATTCTGAAGATTTCTGTGGACAAATTTAAACATTTCGTAGCCCTAATTTAAGTAAGAGTATATCCTTAGCGTGGAAAAAGACCAAAATCAGTTTCAACTTTTTCTCGTTGCCTTATTTTTTATGCGACGTGCGCTTGCCTGTAAATGGGTTTCTCCTTGGCTTCCTTTACTTCTATTCCATTCTCATTTGTTCGAACAATTTAAGAAATTGTCGCCCTGTTCTTGCCTCAGCACCCTGGCCATTCGGCATAAAAAACACTATGCATGTGTGAAGTTTATAGTAAATAAAGTATGATTGTCTATTGTCAATGCTCGTTGCTTTTGTGGTTTATAAAAATTCAACACTCTATTTGCTGCTCGTCGTTCGCTCGCTCCCTCTCAGTTAATTTCATTTGATTTATATGGATTGTGCGAATGGAAATGGAAGTGGAAATGGGGATGAGCACGGCTTTGAAGTTGGGGTTAAGCCATGTTCTGTAATCGCTCTTGTTGATGACGCTGATTCTGGATGCTATTGTGGTCAATAAATTACCAGCTGTGCAGAAAAGCCTTTAGCGCTTTTGTTCCTTTTCACACATTTGAAGTGCACTTTATGCTTTTTGCATGCGCAATTCGCAATTAATTAAAACAATTATGTAGGCAACGACACAAAATCAACAACAACAGGAAAAAGGCAATCCAAAGGGCAGAGCAAAAAATAAAACAGAGCTCCAACAAGAAAAACGAAAATTTTCTGCGGTGAAATGTCATGTCGCCTGTCAACCACACATTCTCAGTTCGAGTATTATGCAATTATAAAAATGGAAGAACAGGTCTGGTTAAATGACCATCCACATCAGACAACTCGTACACCTTGCTTCTTGAGTCAAATTTAAATCGAAAATGGAGAGATTTAAGCAAATAGTGAACTATTTTTCGAGCCGGCTGTGTGAATTATGCAATTGTTCCTATACCTCATGACCACATCGATATCATTAATGTTGATCATGGAGAACGACGCTACCCCATTAATGTCATTACTGGATGGCACTTTCCTGGACAGTTACAATTACTCGACAGAAAGCCGGGAAGGCAGGCTGAGCTCCTATCCATTGGGTAATGCAAAAGTATGGAATACCTCTAATATAAAACCCACTAGATTAAGTAAAATGTTTAGCCGAGAAGATCAGAATGAGATTAAGAGAAAAATTATCGATAAAGAGGAACAAATAAGAATTGAGAGATTATGGGATCCCATTCTTAATCAAAGCTACGACTTTTCTAGCTTTAAGGATTACAATAACACTTCTAATATAAGACCCATTAGAATAAGTAAAAAGTTAAGCCGGATAGATCGAGAAAATATGCAATATAAAATGGCAGACAAAAAAGAACTAACAATTGATAATTTGAGGAGTTCTACATTTAATGAAACCTATAACTCTTCGATCCTAGAGGGTTATAATAACGGAAGCCAAAGATATGAAAATAAAATCGAAGAAAATGAATTGGTGTATCAAAATGTTTCGGAAGTCACCCAAACCACAACCAGTTTAAAATTCGATGACTTATCAGAAACGGAAGCAGATTGGTTTCCTCTCTATAATAAAAGCTCTACCTGCGACAATTCTAATATTTCATTGCCTGGCATTACATCAAGTGCTAATTCTCTACAAGACACTTCAGCAAGAAGTTCAAAAATAAAAGTATATCCACTAAAAATGAAAATATTCCTAAGGCCGGAACTAAAGTTTGGACAGACATATTCCATATTCACGACTATTCCCAGTCTGGGCAAGGAAAATTTTGTGCTCAGACTTACAGTAGATACCAATGATTATTTAATCGATGAAGTTGTAACGGCAGTCGATATCGCATTTTCAGGCTGGCATAAAACATCGAATTTGCAGAGTTTATTGAAAAAATGGGGCATTTTAAACCATCGACTTTCCTATAATCAATGCTATTACTATCGCAGTACAGCTAGTTTTTTCAATACGAAACACAAATACGTCATCGGCAAAATAAGTTCAATGGAAAACAGAAAAAAGTTACTGGCAAAAATGGTGCGTTCAAAAATTAAAGTGCGGAAACCTCGAAATGTAAGATGTCTACCCTCCTTGAACTTAGAATTCTGCAAGAATCCCAACGAGCCTGTGGAGGTGTCACCCTGGGGTCACCTCGAATTTTTCGCAACTATAAGCGAGGACTGTCCCACAGTGGACTATGAAAGAATCTATTGGAATTTTTATGATATTACAGAGAAAAGTGAGCCCAAAGTTTGATGGAAGCAATTTCTTCAACTAATTTCATTGCATTCGATATTTTTTAGTTCTTATGGCTCAAGTGAAAGGAAGCACAGGTCTTGTAGTAAAGTTACTGCCTTACAAGCTTAAGTTTCTCTTCGAACCTGATCCAACAAAAGTCTTTTTATTACGTGGGAGGATCAAATTGAATGATGTCATTACTGAAGCTCGTGTGAGTTGACAAAGTCAGGAGAAATGTATAACCCCACAGTCTTTCATCTTGATTTCAGTGCTATGTGACGTACAAAACGCCCCAGGTTGAGCCCCAAATCAGAGGCAATGAGCAACGAAAAGTGGACGTTCGGCATCCAGTTATTATCGACGGGTCCTTAAGCAAGGACAGAATCAAAGAGACGGAATCTCTTGACACTAAGCATTTTTTTTGGAGTTGTCGCAGCCTCGACAATCCTGAAAACAAATATTGTCATAAAGACATGTCTGAAAGTGAGTACTATAAGCTAGAAGTTTGTAAAAAATGTGTGCCGTTTTATTCAAAGTTATAATTAAGCATTAGTAGTGCCTGTATATTAAACAGCAGTTGTGACTTATTTTTAAATTATTAATGAAGTTTATATTTATATGTAAATATCAAACGATTTAATAAATAAAAAATTAAGGGAAAATAGTTTTACTTTTTTATGAAGGATAGTCTATTACTGTATGACAGCATAAAAAATTAACAGATATATCTATTACTATAGTAAATATGTCAGGATAAGGTAAAGCTTAATTAAGCTTAGATTTAAGCCATTTATAAACCCTTTTATATACCTTTTTTCCCAGTGCCTATCATAAAACTGCCAGCCAATGCCCTCAAGGCAGGAGCCGTTTACGACTTTAGTTTGACCGTCATCTCGCAAATTGATCATGAGAATCGCAGAACCGTCACTCAAAAGGTGAAAGGCGTCTCCGCCAAAACAGTCACGCCTCAAATCCTGTGCAGGCGGAACTGTGACCTTGGAGTATATGCTCCGGTCGAAAGTGTCCACTTGGTGCCCAAATGCGAGGACTGCCGGGCGAAGATAAAGCGCTACGAGTGGTGGGTGTTGGTGGAAGGATCAAAACCGTACTTGGAAACGCGGCACAAATATCTAATCCTCCAGAATAAGGAGCCCATTATTTCCATTCGGCTGAGGTTGTTTTTGGCGAACAGGATGTCGGCGGATGCCTTTTACACGCTTCGCCGGAACGACGGGCCTGAAAAAGGAGCTTGTCGGATCTCTCCATCCTTTGGCATCGAATCCGTAACCATTTTTGAGATCGATTGCCGCGGATTTGAGTCGCCCTACTCGCCGGTGACCTTTCGCTACAAGGTGCCGATGGGCGTGGTCGCCTCGAATGTGCCATATATGCGATTTAATCTTACCTTTCCCGCCACCGAAAAACTTTCGGTTTCGATTTGCGACACCATCGATATGTGCGTGACCCGGAAGCTGCAAGTGAAAGTGATTCCGATGAGGAATTACCGGTCGACTCACTTCACCCGTCGGATCATGAAGAGCATGGCGAGTGTGCCGGATTCGTTGGTGCGTGGCCAGTGGAATAGGGCTTATGTCAAGGGTCTCATGGCCACCAAATGGATCCGGACGACCAACGATGGTCGACTGGTGTACTCGTATTTCGAGAATGTGAGGGCAAGAACGGGATCCCAGCTGGAGCAGATCACCACGCTGGCCACGCACATATTGACCCGGCTGTCGCCAGTTGATTACCGCGGAGCCACCCTAATGGGGGACATTTTCAGCCAGCTGTGCCAAATCTTCGAGAAGATTATTAAGGACCGCGAGTGGCTGCATCGAGATGCCTACTTCTCGTTGACCGCCATGCATATGTTCTTCATGTCCGTTCTGGGCAAAAAATCGGAGCACCATTCGAAGGCCATGTGCAAGACCTATAGTCCAGAGTGCCTCAATCTGCAAAAGCTTGATCTGGTGAAGAACTTCACTATCGAGTTTGATCCCCTGATTTTGCTGCGCATCAATAGCTGGATGATAAGCACCTGGTTCCTGTACAAGTGCGTCTATTTCCTGGGCGTCCTGGCCACCCATAGACATCATCCCTACGACGACGCCTTGACGGTCCACAAAGGCGGCATTGCCTACCAGGTAGGTTTGTATCGATATATACAAAATTCGAATTTTAGCTATCACCATATATTTTTAAAAACGATAAATAATCCTGCAAGAGTACATAAACTTTGGTTTGCTGAAGTTTGCTTAATTTCTTGTTTTTTATATATCACAATTGAATATCAATTTCGCACGAACTACGATTTGCTTTAATATCAGTACAAATTATGGTATGGTTATATTCTATACAAAGTTAGTTGGAATTTGGTTGGAAGAGATTTCTGTAGCACCTTAGGCTGATATTTTCTCCCCTCCCTTCTGCCAGGTGAATGTGACCGAGGTGACGCGCAACGCCAAAGGCTTCACCCTGGCGACCATCGACAAAATCCACGTTATTGAAGTGTCGGCAGAGCTCCTCCACGAACTGAAAGCCAGCCTGCGACACAGCTCCATTCTGTTCCAGACCATCTCGCAGCAGAACCACCACAACATCTTCTGGTGGTACCCAGAACCACTGCCCTCGAAGACCAGTGTGCTAATCGTCCACGCCTACAGTCCCGTTGAGTATTTCAGGAGCGCCCAAGAGTCCGAGTTGAAACATCCGCTGGTCTACAAGACGAACATCACCCAGTTCAACGAGGAGTCGTCCTTCACCCCGTGGATGGCCAACAACAGTATTGAGAACAGCTCGGAAGTCCACATATACAGTATGATGCTGGGTCACAAGGCCATGTTGGGGGTGCGAATTGTGGGTTGCTCGGAGCCGATGTACATCAAGATGCGGATGCACAGGTGGCCCAAGCTGAGGGAGCTCAAGCAGGATGCCTGCCGGGTAGCCCCCGGAATGGAGGGCAAGCGGATTTGGATGGCCAACTCCTGCGGTCGGAGCCAGGCATTCGTGGCCATTCAAAGGAAAAAGAGAAAGCTGAAGTGGCTGGTGAGAAATGACGACGAATCAGATTATAAGACACGGCAGCTTAACTACTCGATACTGCTGGAGATATATCAGTGCAATTTCTGGAAGAACCTCTCGTTGGACCCAGGATGGAGTGAGGACTACTGCACCACCACGTTCGAGCACAGTTTCGGCACATCCGTCCAGTGCACCTGCTACACCCTGGGCACCCTGTCCTCTCGTATTTTCCCCATCTCAGCGGAATTGGTTGTGGAGTACATACCCGAACCCATACTCTTCTTCACCGCCATCATGCTGATTCTATTTATACTGCTTTTTATGCTGCTCATCATTATGTTGATCATGAATATGGAGTCTCTTTCTGCTCATCGCAGGGAGCAGAACGTACTGCAGTGCCAATCGGCCAAGACTGTGGTCAAGAATAAAGCGGCGACGATCAGCCACGGATCGGAGATATGCCTGGTCATTGTGACCGGTGGTCAGGAGTTTGCGGGCACAACATCGAACATAAAGTTCTACTTCAAGTCGCCGAATCGAGAGCAGACGACGTACAAAATCACTCAGGATCCGGGACATCCGAAATTGTTGAGGAACAGCACTAATATGCTGATGGTTCCCCGGGGCACCATCTATATACCCACCCGACTGTCCCTGGGTATCGAACGGAATGGCCGATATCCCTCGTGGTATTGTCGCACTGTCACAGTGGTGGATCTGCAGTTGAAAGTTCAGCAGCTTTTCGTCGTGAAGAGTTGGATTGAGCGGGGTCACACGGAGTTCATGCGCTCCAAGTTCTTCACAGCTGGCAGCTATAGCAAGTCGCCCAAATACACTTGGTGCCGCCGTTTAAAGATCCGTTCCGAGCAGCTGTATGTCAGCTGGTTTATGATCAACCCAATCACGGGTCCCTGGCAAAGTAGCGTTGGAGGCTTCACCATGAATCGCTTCCAACGCACCTCCGTCTGGATCTGCCAGTTGGCTATTACCGTGACTGTGGTCTGTCTGTATTTCGGAGAGAGTACCGCGGATGTCATTCAGGAGGAAATAAGGCAGAACATCCAAAACTACCTTAAAATTAGCGCTGTTGCTGCCCTGGCATTCTACGCATTTGTCATAGGCTTGTTTATACATTTGTTATTTGAGGTCCTCATTTTACGATGGCTATGGCCGCAGAACTAAACTTACTTTTAAAATCTTGCCAGTATACTAAACTTGTTTAATAAAAGCTATAATTTACTAAAGAAATAATAAAATGTATTTTATTTTGCAAGTTCATTGAAGATAATTTCTAATCATACCAATAACAAGAAAGGAAGCAAACTTTGGCAAGTCGAAGTTCATATACCCTTGCAGACTCAAAAACGACTACATTTCAATTTGTATGCCTATATTACTAAACACACAGAAGCTATGTCGATTTTGCGCTGCATTATTGGCTTACATTTGGTAAAGTAGAAGTCCAATTTTGAGCCATTCTATTACAAGACATCGGAAAATTGGAAATAACTAACATGAAAATGGGTCAAAAATTTGATCAACGTTAAATGGAAAATTTTCAGAGAATCGAATCACAATTCTTTAGAGGTATGCCACTTTGGAATCGGAATAAATTTGGTAATGTTATGGACTCTCAAAGTCCAACTTAATGTCACTATTTTACAAGACTTCGGAAAATTAGAAATAACTAACATGAAAATGAGTCAAAAATTTGATAAACGTTAAATTGAAAAATTTGAATGCAAATTTTCAGAGAATCGAATCACAATTCTTTAGAGGTATGCCACTTTGAAATCGGCTTAAATTTGGTAAAGTTATGGACTCTCGAAGTCCAACTTAATGTCACTATTTTACAAGACATCGGAAAATTAGAAATAAACAACATGAAAATGGGTCAAAAATTTGATCAACGTTAAATGGAAAATTTTGAATGCAAATTTTCAGAGAATCGAATCACAATTCTTTAGAGGTATGCCACTTTGGAATCGGATTAAATTTGGTAAAGTTATGGACTCTCGAAGTCCAACTTAATGTCACTATTTTACAAGACATCGGAAAATTAGAAATAAATAACATGTAAATGGGTCAAAAATTTAATCGACGTTAAATTAATAAATTTGAATGCAGATTTTTAGAGAATCGTATCACAATTCTTTAGAGGTATGCCACTTTAATGTCGGCTTAAGTTTGGTAAAGTTATGGGCTCTCGAAGTCGAATAGCAAATATTTCCATTTTATAGCACTGGCATTTTTGTAACTATCATTTTTATTGAAGAAGGCTTAACACTCGAGAAGTATTTGATCTTATTATATTAAACATTTTGATATTCATTGGTCATAGCTGATTAAACCTATTATTTTGCGATATCCACATATTGTCAATATGGGAGGAGTTTTAAAAATAATTTTTTAAATTTAAATAGAGAGGAATGGCATGAGAAGGGCTTTGCCTTCTGTTCTGGCGACCGTATCCGACCGGGTTTGGGCTAATGGATTTTTCCACGCCTAATTACCATTACTTAGCCGAAAGGGGGCAAAAAACACAGACACCAACGTAAAAAAGGTAAAATTGCATTAAAAATTATCGCTTTTTTTTTAGAAACTATGCTTTTGGTATATTATTTTTTGTAACTTGAGTGTGTATGCAAATGGAATTTCATAGTCACCATTAACACCTTTTTGCACTGTCTCTCCTTCACACCTGTTTCTTGTGGTCCCTGCCATTTTTTTTGTTCGCATATTTTATGTGACGTTGGGTGAAATTTAAAAAAAATAAAAATGCATTTAATTAAATGCCACACAAATGCTGCGAAAAACGTTTTCAACGTGTGATATTTTATGCCAGAAGTCGGTCTTTTTTTCCTTCGCCACTGTTGTTCTCGTTTCTCATTGTCGTGGGGACAGTCGAAAAATGCATTTTCATAACGTTACTGGGCATTATAAATGTGTTAAGTTGGGGTGGCTTGGGTTGTGAATGGTTTGCCTTTTAGGAATATTTCAGAGAGTGCGCATAATTTACCACGAAGAAGCTTAGAGCGTAAGTTAGAATATTTTTATTATAAGAAATGGACATTCCCGATACTTAATAATCAATCATAGAGATTTTTATTAAGTGAGCAGAATACTTCAAAAAATACCATAAGTATAGAAGAAGGCAAAAAAAAGCGATATGACAGGAGCAACAATCCGATTGTTTTCTGCCTTTGAAAACATCTGTAAGTCTGCTCGCAATTTCGATGCATTTTCATCAACCACTTTCAGTATTCACCCTTGAGGCTGTAACGCAGTCGTGGATCCCCGAAATTTGGGCAACAGCTCAATCTGCAACCAGTTCCGATTTTTGCTTACTTTGTAGTTAGGCATAGATTTGCAGCTCTGCCTTTCCATCCCCCGGAGTGATTTTTGTTCGAATGTGGCACAGAGGATGCAACGGAAATTGTACCGAGGGCACGGCCATTATTCTCTTCGTTCTGCCAGAAGCCCAAGGAGGCGACATACGGAGCTGAATTTGTCATATTGTAGTTCTTTGGGCTACAATGTCTGCTGTGCACCCGTTATGCAAAACGGGGTATATTTGGTATACGAAATCGAGCAGATATTTCGGTGCTAATATCTAATATTTGTCTTTCAGGAAACAACTGAAATCGTTGTGATATATATTTAAATTTGCTCAACCTTATTTGAATAACAAGAATCGCTCTAAATATTTAATTAAATACAACAAGCTATTATTGTTTTGAATTATTTGTTGGAATTATGGCTTTCCATCTGCCTGTGGTGAAAAATATACTTGTAATTTTATTATTTGTTAAACATAACCCTTCTTAATTGTAATCTAGCTTAATTGAATGCAAGACCTTATTTAATAGCTGGATTGTTATTCTGTAATTTTTGCTTAGGACATTAAGTAATAGCGATTATAAAAGTTGAAATTAATAGTGGGTATCTCAGGGTCCTGGAAAATCTTGCAAGGCTGTTACGTGTTTTATTTTTGTTTATGCGTTTTTCTGGAGCCACCAGCCGACAAAATTGCAGCCGACAAAATTGCAGCCGACAGTTTGGCACATTCCCATTTCGAGGCCCTGGCATAACAACGCCCACTTTTTGGCCACTGTTTGCATACGTGCCCGTTGTGAAATTGCCTGGGCGCACTCCTCAAATCATTGGCCGCTGCCCCGCCCACCGTCCAACGCCCTCCGCCCACCGCCCACCATCGAATCCTCAGCCTGTGGGAGCGCAACATGTTAGTGACACAATCGAAATGGAAAACGACATGGAACATGGCAACAATAACGAGCGGCAATAACAAACAACTTCGAATTTTCACCCGGGCATGAGACAGGTAGGAAAACCAGGCGGAAATTGAAGTGTGAAGTGTGTGAGTGGATTAGTTATCCTGAGAATTGTTGCCGCTTGGCAAATTTCCTTCTGATTTGCGACACTCACTCACTCGTTTTGGCCGACACCGTCAGCTTATGCTTACAGCTTGGGAGTCAAGCAAAAAAGCTTTGCCCTCGGGGCAAACACCAAAAATGAAATTCAAGGAGAAGTTTTCGGTGGGGCATAAGCAGCTCTGGCAATCTCCAGAGCATAGCTACCTGTAAATATATATCGCTGGCGTTTTCCTTCAGCCTTGTGTTCGCTTTTCCTCCCATTTCCCAGTGGCTTGTTTACACTGCAACGACGCGACACTGCGGTGGCACATAGTCAAATGCAATTGCAGATGAAACTTAAGTCGACGGAGGTAAATGTTCAGATTGAGTGACTGGCAGATGAGCTCTGTTGAGCGGGATTGCTAACCAAGGTGGGAAGCTTTTTGGAGCTCTTGGAATTACTGAAGTACTTTCTGAAAAACTAAAGTTAATTTTCAATACTAACGACTTAAAGAAAAGTTCCCCAAAGTTTATGTTTAAGACTAAAAACCCAAAAAATGTATCATTTAAAATTGTTTCTGGATAAATTCCGGTTGTCAAATTTTTAGTAAGCTTATCTTTTTAAACTTTTATTTAATAGATCTTTATACATAGAATGTTAAATAAACTCAATCCACATTGTACATTTTTAAAATGTTCTAAATTAATAAAAATTAATGACTTTAACAAATAGGTTTCAGACATTTAACAAGTCTGCTTTAAGTATTGTCACAAAAGAAGCGAATTGAAGTCGTACATATAGCCCAAACCGAAATCGACTGCTCATGTGGAACGTCGTCGGAGTCGTCGTCTGTGGTATTCCCAGTTTTCCAACTCCCTATTCCCAATCCACTGCCGCCCGCTACGGCGCATTGCACATACGCCGTGTGGTGCAGTTGAGTTTCGTTCACTTCACGGTATTTTGCCTATAAAATTTGCAAGAATTCGTTGTGTCAATTGTGTGCCCTTCCCTTCCCCTCCCTTCTGTCACCTGTCTGTGCTGGGTGGCTTGTCTAGTTGGCAAATAATTCTTTACAGCCTTAAATTTTGCTTAACAAATTGGCATTTTTATTGTGACGGTAGAGAAACGCTTTAAGACAAACACCAAGTCGTTTGCAGCTACATTTTCGCGAAATTGTGGCTGTAGCTGAAAGCAAACCATCAAGTCTGCATTACATGGGGCGTATGCGTAATTTCGGATGCAGTAAAAATCCAGCTGCAGATGTTTCGAAGCACGAAATTAATTACGGAAAATAAGTACACAGATATACACACACACTGACGCATAATAAGGAGAAGGACCAACAAGGAACAGCGCCAGAATAATAATAATAAGTAACAAAAATAAACTTTACACGCTCAAGAAAAGCAGCAACACAAGCAGAAGAAGCGAAGAAGAAGGAAGAAGCACTGTGGCAGAAGCAGCAGCGGCCATAAACAAGCATATGCTAAGGCAGAAGGCATAAAAATAAATCCGAAGAAGGGAAAACTTTTTGATATTATCTGACTACGCTCACAATCATGTGCGAGTATGTGTTAGGATGGATGCGTGTGCGTTTGTGCATCTGTGTGTGTGTTGGCAGATCACTCTGAGAAGTCTGCAAATCCGTCACGAAGGACCACGCCAGAGCATTGTATTTGACAGCTGCCAAAAAGTTTTCCATTTTCAAAGAACACACCTGTTAATAATATGTATTAGTCAATTATTAAATTGCCATTAAATAGATAAATCAAGTACTGGTTGGAATTCATATTAAATACAAAATTAAA